TTATTCAATAAATGACAAATAAAGCTTCTTTGCGGTTTCCTCTTCCTGCGTGGTCCACTTATTTTTGGACAGAAAAAAAAGCCACACCAATTTGATATTTATAAATAATAAATAAAGAAAAGGTTGAAAGAGTGATGGCCCGTGTGGGCTTGGAAGGGATAGACATTAAAATGAAGAAGGATATGGGGAGGGGAGAGAGAGAGAGAGAGAATAAAAAATAGATATTGAAAGACAAAAAGGCGATCTCGAAAAAAGCTAAGCCAGGGGAAAGTGACATGCTCCCTCACGCTCATGACTTTTGTGGCAAGGTGAATAATTCACCTTAGAATCATTTTGATTCATAGTATAAATTATTTTTTAAAAATTTGTTTTGATTTTAAATATAAATCAGTTTGTAATTTTTTTGGCCAAATCCTTTGTATGTAATCAACGAGCCAACTTTTATTTAATATGGTCTTTAATTTTATTTTTGCATCCTTAATTAGTGAGCCAACTATTATTTTTTATCAATTTTTTAATCTAAATCTGGACTTATATCATAGAGTAGAGTTACTCTCATAGTCTTGTTTATAATTTATTTTTCAACATATTTTATCAGAATAAAAAATATTAAACTTTCTTAACTTTGTCTTCCAACTGACCAATTTTCCCTCTATTTAACATACACATTTTTCAACTCCTCTAGTTCACAATTTAAATCATTTTAATAAATTTATTGGAATAAAAATATTAGTTAACTCATCAAATCAGTCAAATTAATTTTTTTAAATTTTGTTCTTATCAAATAAGGTTATGATGGAGAGACAAATATACAAAGAGTTATATAGGCATAAAATTGACAAATAATCGTTAACTACACTGCAAGTTATTTTGTACCAAAAAATTACTTGTGTTATATCGCAGATGGACTATCTAATAATATATGAAGGGTACCCTGGTACCCAAGTACATGCATGCAAAAAGTTTTATTCATATTGTGCTTAATATATGATCTAGTTAATTAATTTGAGTAGATTATAAATGTTAATTAAATTAGTTAATACTACCTTCGATCCTAATTATAAGAGCTAGTTGACTAATTTGAGGAGATTAATTAAATAAGCTAAGATAGTTATTTGTAATAAACATATATTGTCTTTCCTAAAATATCCTTGTTAATCAAATATATTGGCTAAAACTACTATTGTTGGAAGGATTGCTTTGGAAAAAAATGTATAAATATGAGAGACAAAGTAAATTGGAGTCTTATATTTAAAATCAAACTAAAAGTTAAATAATATCTTGTATTAGGGACCGGAGGTAGTATAATAGTTTGTTTTTTCTAAACCACCTTAAAACATCTTTCTTAATTCCCTCCATTTTTCTCCTACTTAATTATTATTGAAAAATATCAATAGAATTGATTTGAAAAAAATAATAAATATAAATAAGTCTTATATACAGGACTAACATTGACTCCTTAATTATATCTTACTACTTTCGGTTCTTGATATAAAAGCTTGTTTAACTTTTAATTTAGTTCTAAATATAAGACCCAAATTCACTTTATCTCATAATTTATCTATTTTTTTCAAAGAAACCCCTATAGTAATTACATACATTAAAAATTCCATTAAATGATAGTTCTAATTAACACGCATAATTAGTAAGTATATTTTAGGAAAGATAACACATATTTAATACAAATAACTAACTTAACAAACTTTCTTAATCTACTCAAATTAGTTAATTAACTCTTATATTAGTAACTAGAAGTAGTATATTAAGCACAGGAGGAATACTATGTACTCTCCTGGTTCTAAATATAAGACTCTTATACTCGTGAGTATAAGGGTCTTATATTTAGGATCGGAAGAGTAATTTGTAAATAGGACAAAAAATTTTGTTGTCTTACTGTATGAATAGAATTAGAGGAGTATATTTTTACCCTTTACTTATTTTTTTTAAGTACTTTTATATTTTCTCTTCATTAGAATTTTGTGTGTGTGTGTGTGTGTGTTTTTTTTTTTTCCACGTCCTCTCTACATTCAATCTATTTTTATTAGGTAATTACAAAAACACGACTTATGTGAGAAGATGCTATAATCTTTGCTTTATGACTTGTTTGGTGGGTCGAAAGCGGAAGTTACGTAGAAAATTAGAAACAAAATATGTGCAGGTGTAGATTTGACATGCACCAATCAAAGACTTCAAAGGATGGCCAAAAGAAAATAAACAACTTTAAAGGAAGTAAAATTTCAGCAGGGTTTGTTTCAACTTTTTAGAAATATTTTTAATTCATATATTTACTTTATATATCATAAAATCACTTTACAAATTTTAATACAAATATTTTTCATATTTATTTTGTAGAATAGTGTTTGGTTCTAGGAAAATAAATCCATTTTGGCATAGGGTTAAAAAACCGGATTAAACCAACTAATTTAGCCTGTAACCGGTCCCCGGGGGTGTTTATGCCCAAAGAATTGGTTTCCAATCATGCCTTATTGTTATTGTTGCTATTATTTTATTTTGATCTGATCTGAGTATCAAATGGAATTTCCAGGAGTCACATGTTTACATGTAAAGCACTATCCTAACCCCGTGGGGTTAGGTCGACTGGCTGGGGTCGTCCTAACTTAATCACGGATCTCGGGTTCGAGACGTGGGAACGCAGCACTCCAAGGAGTCAGGGGCGCCGTCCGTATGGATCCTTGCAAGCCCCCGAATCCGGATTAGTCTGAGGACGTTGTCACGGCTGAAAGACGCCTATTTCCCTGGAATACCGGATGGAGTAATCCAAAAAAAAGAGTACTATCCTCCATGGAAAAACGTAAAAGAAAACTAAGAAATGGGCATGTGCGGGTGCGGCTTTTGATCTTATGGACGACCCTCATATGCTCAATAATTGTATTTTGCCAACAGCGCGCGCAATACTCTATTTAGAATTCATCTCCCTTTTTCTCAGGATCATAATTTATGATATTACAGTACTCCTCCGTCCTTATTATAAGACCCAATTTGACTTTTATTTGGTCCTAATATAAGACCCAATCCATTTTGTCTCTTATATTATGCATTTTTTTCCAGATAATCCTTCTATAATGATAGTTTTAGCCAATATACTTGATTAAGCAAGGAATTTTAGGATGACAACACTTATTTATTATAAATAACCAATTTAACTTACTTCCTTAATCTCCTCAAATAAGTCAATTGGGTCTTATAATTAGGACCGGAGGGGTATTATATTTTTGCATGACTTTTAAATAATAACTCTAAATATTTCTGGTAAAAAAAACTATAATTTTAGCTCTAGTTATATTCCACAACAATACTAAGGGTTATTTGAAATGAATTTAAAAATCATTTTTCAATCATAATTTACGAAATATGAGATAAGTATGCGAGATGAGTTTTATCTGAATTCATATAAAAACGTGTAAAAGTGTAAAAGTGCTTATAATTGCTTTTGGATCGCAGATTAACAAGCAATAAATTCCTCCGCGGATAAAGAATAATAAAAAAAGCCTTTTATTTTTATTAAGAGATATAAAAGTTTGTTCTTCATGAAGTGTTTGCGAAAAATAAGTTTGCTTGTGTTAAAATTTTCAGAAAATATCACTAAATCAATTGAGATTGTAAAATTTTTTTAAAATCTAATAAAATATTCAGGAGGTTTGAAATAATCGACATAAAAGAAACATTTACTGTTTAAAAATAGTTATGGTTTTAAAAAAATTTTAATTTAAGACATACTATATACAATACAATTTATCTATAAAAGAGCTCATCATCTTACGTTATGGCCAAGAGGGGGAAAAAAAGGAAGAAAAAAAAAACCTCTTTTTAAACGTTAGCCCACCACTTCCTCTCGTATTTCTACCAAACACACGACCATTGCGTTGCGCCCTTCCGGATTTTCTTGGAGGGGTCTTTGAATTTGACTGATTTCTACTGATATACACTAGAAAAATGAAAAATAGGCATTAAGAAAAGGGAAAAAAATGTTTTGTAATTCGAGGTGATATGGTTCTGGTTCAGGTCAGGGTCATGTGAAATAAATTCGGAAAAAATTCTAAAAATATCTTAATATAATATTAAAAAAAAGAAATAAAAATTTGGCTGTTACAGCCTGCTCTACTCCTTTATAGCGCCCGTACTGGTAGCCATAGCGGTTTTACTCTCTGGGTTCTGCGTCGCTTCTTTCTGCAGATTTGCTGTTGCCCTTGTTGTTGGGCATTGCTCGTTGCTTTCTTCGGTCCAAGGAATCTGGGGTCAGAAATCAAATCAGTATAAGCCTCTTCAAGCCATAGATATCCTCTTGTCCTTGTATGCTCTGTCTGCTCAGTTCTACCAGGCACCAGCTATCACGGTTTATGCACCGTGTTATCTCTCCAGCTCTTGATTTTTGAATGGTCTTTTAGAGAGAGAGAGAGAGAGAGAAAGAGTCGAGATGGCGGGGAGAAGTCTGAAGTATTGGAGGCTGTTTTGAAGGAAGCTGTGGATTTGGTAATAGATCTGAATGGCTTTGAGCTTCGTGGCCTTCATGGATGTTTTTGCTTCCTGCTTGGTCGGTATTTTGATTTTTTCCCCTTGAATGCAGGAGACATACCATTGAGGAGGTGCTTGAGAATCTGAGATGTAGCAGGGAAGGTCTCACCTCTGACGCTGCTGAAGAGAGACGACCATCTTTGGCCACAACAAGCTTGAGGAGAAGAAGGTTTAGTCGTCATCTGAGCTCCTTGCCTTCTTCAAGCCATTCATTTTGAATGTTGAGCGAGTGGGGGGGTTTGTGTTTCTGATTTTTATTTTCCGGGAAATTTTTCAGGAGAGCAAATTTTTGAAGTTTTCTTGGGTTTATGTGGAACCCTCTGTCTTGGGTCATGGAGGCTGCGGCTATAATGGCGATAGCGCTGGCCAATGGTGGGGTGAGTATATTATACAGGCTTCAGTGTAAAATTTAATAATTGTGCATAATGAATCCTTCTTCTCACATTTTAATGCAGGGGAAGCTCCTGACTGGCAAGATTTTGTGGGTATCATTACGCTGCTTTTCATCAATTCAACTATCAGTTTCATCGAGGAGAACAATGCGGGTAATGCGGCGGCGGCTCTCATGGCTCGCCTCGCTCCAAAAGCAAAGGTGTCAAATTTAACTAGTGGTTGTTTTATTCATTTATCTCACGGAGACGTGGTGAGACTTTATTAGCTTAATATTTATGTGAATTTGACATTGGTGCAGTAAAAAATTATGCTTTGGGTTCATGTCGTTTCTCTCCCCTGTATTGCTTGTCCTTATAAGTTTCTTCTCTTGTGTCTACGTTGCAAAGGTTCTCCGAGTGGCAGGTGGAATGAGCAAGATGCCTCGGTTCTGGTTCCTGGTGACATAGTCAGTATTAAACTTGGGGATATTATTCCAGCTGATGCACGTCTACTCGAGGGGGATCCATTGAAAATTGATCAAGTGGGTTCTCTGATAGTTTTGATTTGCGTTTATTAAAATTTTACAATGTTATCCGTAAACATGCATGCTACAGCCTTCTTTCCCTTATTCTTCTATGCTTCGCGCTTTCCAGTCTGCTCTTACTGGAGAGTCCTTGCCAGTTACGAAGGGACCTGGTGATGGTGTATATTCTGGTTTAAATGCAAACAAGGAGAGATTGAAGCTGTGGTCATCGCCACTGGTGTTCATACCTTTTTTGGGGAAAGCTGCTCACCTTGTAGATACCACTAATCAAGTGGGTCATTTCCAAAGGTAACATGGGAGGAGGCATCTTTTTTGCTCTTAGATGGCCAATTCATGTTTCAGAGTTCTTTTGTTCTTATTTATTATTTTATGTAGGTCTTGACTGCAATTGGGAACTTCTGCATATGTTCAATTGCTGTGGGGGATGATTATCGAGATTATTGTCATGTTATCCCATCCAAGATCGAGATTATCGCCTGGAATTGAACCTTCTTGTACTTCTGATTGGAGGAATTCCAATTGCCATCCCACTGTTCTCTCTGTGACCATGGCCATCGGTTCTCATAGGGCTATCTCAGCAGGTTGGTTAGATTCCTTGCCATATATTGAGCATTCTTGTAATATATCTGTATAGTCCTAAACTAGTGGTTATAATTTTTGCAGGGGGCTATCACCAAGAGGATTGAGGCTATTGAAGAAAGAAATGCAGGCTGGAGTACTTTGCAGTGATAAGACTGGAACTTTA